CTGATCCCTTCTCTGGGCCTCAGATTCCTCATCTGTAGAAAAGCACTTTCTCCAGGATGTTGTATGTGTCATACAATAGTAGCAGCTAACATTTATTGATCCTTCTGTCCATGCCAGACATGTGCTAAGTAGTTCATAACATTATTTCATTTCACTCTCCTACCAACCATTTAGTGTAGGAACTTTAATCTGAATACTACAGAAGAAATGAAAGCCTAGAAAGGTTGAATAACTTTCCTAGAATAGTGTCATAAGTGGCCAAATCAGTTTGAACTGTAGTCTGACAGAAGAGCGGCTCTTCTTAGCTGCTGCAATAATAATAGCCCATGCTTGCATACTTAAAAAGTTTACTAAATTCCAGATACTGTTCCAGATACTGCTGAATATAGCAGAGTGGGTATTAATATCATGCCTGTTTTATAAATAAGAAAATTGAAGCACTGAGAAAATTAAGTGGCTTGTCCAAGGTCACACAGCTAGGAATCAAACCCAGGTGGTTTGGCCCAGGAGTCCCTGTCCTAAGCACTTTCCTCTCCTGCCTTCCTGTGACATATTGTGACATATTGTTACTGTCGGCAATATAGCAACCGCGTATTGATGGGTGAATTTATGCTGGATCAAATCTAGCCTATGTGTAGTTACGAGTCACTACATTTCTCCCTCATTCTCCACTGGAGAAGCCAGTCTCCTGACATGAATTTCTCCCCCATGACCAGTGACCTTGATGCTGAATTCAACGTCCACTTCTCAGCCTCTGTCTTCTGTGAACTGTCAGCAGCACTGAAAAAATATCAGTAGTTTCCCCTTTCTAAAAGTGTTTTCACTTCTGTGAAGACACCTCTGAGAAGAATAAAGTTCTCCTCAGATTCCCCTTTTTACATCACTGTTCCCAGCATGCTTACCTACACTGTCCTCTCACTTTCCAATCCTGTGGCTTCCAGTTACCTTGTTTGTGCTTGGTCCAAATCCATGTATCTAGACCAGGCCTCTTTCCTAAGCTCCATCTATGCCTGTGACATCTCCATGTAAGGATCCCAATGGGAACTCCCCTCCCAAAATGGCTTCTCCTTTGCAGTTTCCTGATGACATTGCTGTGATTTCTAGTCCAGAATTGTTGGAGCTGGTCTAGAATCCGGAGTTCTACTCTCTCACACTTCCTGTAGAGTCCGTGGCCAAATCTTGTCCACTTCACCTCCTCCCATCTTTTGTATTTAATGTCTTCTCCGTCTCCCTGCTGCTCAGCTGGACTCTTACAGATGACTAACACCTGGTCGTCGTCTTCCTGCAGGTTCTTACCCTTCGTTGGGCCTCCATCCTGCTTTCCATCTTCCCCTCAGCTTTCCTGCAATTTCTTCCTCTCCATCTTCCGCTTTTTTTTTTTTTTTCTCTAAACCTCAGGCAGCACAGAGTGCATAGTCCTAAGATCAAATTAAGGCTGCTTTAACTCAGGAAAATTGTTTCACTCTGAGCCTCAATTTCCTCACTGGAAAATGGAAGCCCGGATTCCTTCCTCACAGGGTTGTTATGATGATTAAATGAGATACTGTCTGTGAATTGCCTGGCAGAGGGCCCAGCACACCATAAAACTCAGAAAATAGAGCCTTCCCCTCCCCCCCCACCCCCCTCACATCTGTCCTCAACCTCTTCCTGGAGTGCCTCCTGGGAATGCATCCTTGGGAGAGACAGAGCCAGGCCCTGGCACTTCCCTGGCTACTGTCCCATGGGGTTGTCCCAGGGATAGCCAAGAAAGCTAGCTCTTCAACCTTCTGTTCCTCCCGCCTCCTTTTCTCTCCCCTCCCCATCCTCTAGCTCTGGGCTCCTGCTCCTCCTCCCAACTTCCCTGGGTCTGGCTGTTGTGTCTCCACTCACTCTGCTTTACATATTTACTCTCCTTTAGTTTTGCTCCTTGCCATCTTCCTACCAACACTCTCACTTCTCTTCCTCTTTTTCTTTAAATGCCTATCTAACACTGTCTCTTTGCTTCCCTTCACTCACTCAGGCTAGCCTCCTCCTCCTCTTCCAGCCCATGTGCCTTTCCTAGCCCCCCTCCTCAGCCTTGTTGTCTTTCTGGTCCTGCCCCTCACTGGCCCTGGGACAGGAAGTTGAGGGAGGAGGCCTAGGCGGTGCCAGCTCCCCTAGCCTGCTTCCCCTTCTGTACCTCGGGCTACTCCTATACTTCCTCCCAGAGAGCACCCAGTTTCCCTTGTGGTCCCTCTGTGCCTCCCCACAGCCCACCTCTCCTGTGTGTCCCACTGTTCCCAGGTACCATAGACACACAGGCTGGGGACTGGAGGGGGGGGGGACTGTGCAAACGAAAGAGTGGGGAATTGACATCACGTTTCAGGCCCCAATGAACAGTCTTGCCCCTCCCCCTCCTAATGAGAACCAGCTGTGGTTCCAGAGGCCCAGATGTGGGGATATGGGGGGAAGAGCAGGCTGAAATCAGAGGACCAAGTAACAGGGCTGAGGACAGAGCAAGGACATGTAGCAAAGGCAGAACTAGTTGGGAGAAGAGATGTGACAAAGCTGGGAGCTGGGTAGGAGGCAAACAGATTGGGAAAAGAGATGACCTGAACAGGGCTGGGATGGGACAGCGCTGGACAGGAAAAAGAGAAGAACTGGGGGGGGGGGGGGGGGGGAGGAGCAAATCTTAGGGAAGAGGCAGTTAGAAACACCAAACAGATGGGAGAGATGGTCCTGAGAAGAGGCTGGAGAGGAGATGAGACAGTCTCTGGAGAGAGTCTGGAGTTCGAGTTTGGAGCTGGAAGCCGCAGAGCAGGAAGTGATGAGGCATAGTCCAGACAGAGGCCCTAGGGACCCGGAGGTCACAGCTGCAGCCGCAGGGCTGACCACGAGTGCCCCGGCAGCATGTGTGAGAGCACGCCTGCGTGTGGGTGGGTCTGCGAGTGTGTGAGCGCGTGCCTGCCCTGTCCACTTACGTAGCAGCGGCTTCTCTGGGTGTGGGAGGATGTGGGAGGGACCTGTGCCTGTGGATGTGTGTGAAGTGTGCTGTCAAAGGGTGTGTATCTTTCCGTGAGGAAATGTGTGTGTATGTGTGTGTGTGTGTTTATGTGGGGGTTTTGTGTGAATGAATATGCCATCTGTGAAAATAGTGCAAGTAAAGAAAGGTGTTTGTGTGTGCACTGATTTTTATATGCACTATCTTTCCTCTCTCATTCTGTGTGTGTGTGTATGAATGTGTGTTGAGTGGGCCTATCTGCATGTGAATCTGACTGAAAATGTCTGTGTGAGTCTCAAATGTGCCGGGCTGTGTATAGGAGTATCTTTGTCGTTGTGAGTCTTTATGTGCCCACAATAAGAGTGCCCCTGGGATATTTTGCAATGATGGGGGACCCAGATTGAGTAATGGGGAAAGTCATGGAGGTCTATGGTTTGAGAGAAGGGGCTGTTTTCATACAGGACATTTATCTCACACTACTAATGTATTATTTCATTCTGAAAATGTATTGATCATACACCAAACCCCATACTACACATGAAGGTAAATAAGGTAGAGTCTTATCCCTTAATACACTAATTGTCTGAATAGCGAGACAGATCATTTTAAGCAAGTGCGATAAATACATTGACCTTACAGTCTGTTCACCTTCTCTCCTCCTAAACCACAATTGGTCTCTCCACTGACAGATTAAATGAATAGGATCAACCTCAACTCTCAGCAGACTTACCTACCTCTCCCCTATTTTTATTGCTAATGTACATCCAAGTCATCCCTTCCAAACCCGTGTGATTCCTTAGACTCTCACAAAAATGCTTCCTCACTGTTTCATCTATAAGCCCTTGTTTCTTATTACCAGTGACAATGGTCCTTACAAAATATAAGCCGTAACATGACACTTCTTCAGATGCTCCAATGGCTTCCATTTGCACTTAGAATAATGTCAAATCTTCAGTACACTTATGAGACCCTGTCCCTCAGCTTTTCAGCTCAAGGCTAGCTCTCTACCACTTGAGCCACAATGCCACTTCTGGCTTTTTCTGCTTATGTGGTGCTGAGGAATCGAACCCAGAGCATCATGCATGCAAGGCAAGCACTCTACCACTGAGCCACCTTCCCAGCCTCCCCTGAGCTTTTTTGCTCAAGGCTGGTACTCTACCACTTGAGCTACAGCTTCACTTTCAGCTCTTTTGGTAGTTAACTGGAGATAAGACCCTCATGCCCTGGTTAGCTTTGAACTGCAATTTTCAGTTCCTGAGTAGCTAGGATTGCAGTTGTGAACCACCAGGGCCTGACTAAACTGGTCTAGAGTTAGAAAGGAAGTTGTGGGCATCTCACCTGAAAAACAGAAAGCAGAATTATCTACTGAAAGGGTTCAGTGTGTGACATTGGGACTTGCCAAGGGAGACACTGATGGGAAGACCCTGATGAATCCCAAAGCACAGATTTCTAGGGCAAGAGATGGATGTGTGGCAGCACACAGGCCTTGATGGGGGATCAGCATATCTTATTCTCCCTTGGCAGACTGCATTTAAACTTAGGACCTTGGGATTGCTAGGCAAATGCTCTACCCTTTGAACCAAGCCTTCTGTATTTTTTTTGAGTTATTTTTCAGATAGAGTCTTGCTTTTGGCTCAGGGCTAAATTTCGACTTGAGATCATCCTGCCTCTGCCTTCTACTAGCTGAGGTTATCTGTGTGCTTCACCACGCTTGGCTTGTTTTTGAAGATAGTCTCAATAACTTTTGCTTTTAATTTTGGCTCCCAGCAGACCTAGAAATGTCATTCTCCTACTTCCACCTCTCAAGTAGCTGGGATTACAGAGATTGCCCTTGGCCCCAGGACTGAACATGTCTGAGTATAGGTATAGCCTATTTCACAGTGCTTCTGGATTATAGAGCCTTTCCCAATGGTGACCTTTTTACTTCTGTTTTTCTCATAGGTCAAGGAGCTTGAGCTGCAGTGAGGGCCCAAGGAAGTCCTCATCCAAAGACTGAAAACAAGCTGGGCCCAGAGTCTGGCTTGGAGCTGGAGCCCCAGCTCCTGCTGGACTGCTCTTGTCATGCAGAAGGGGCTGGGCATCGGGCCCTCCAGCCCTGGCATGAAGAGCCCCAGGCCCCTCCTTCTGCTGCCACTGCTGGTGCTGCTGGGAGCGGGGTTGCCAGGAGCCTGGGGTCAGGCTGGAAGCCTGGACCTGCAGATTGATGAGGAGCAGCCAGCAGGCACACTGATCGGGGACATCAGTGCAGGGCTTCCAGCAGGCATGGCAGCTCCTCCTATGTACTTCATCTCTGCCCAGGAGGGCAGCGGTGTAGGCACAGACCTGGCCATCGATGAACACAGTGGGGTTGTCCGTACGGCCCGTGTATTAGACCGTGAGCGGCGGGACCGCTACCGCTTCACAGCAGTCACCCCAGATGGAGCCACCGTGGAAGTCACAGTTCGAGTGGCTGACATCAATGACCACGCACCTGCCTTCCCACAGGCTCGAGCTGCCCTGCAGATACCTGAACATACAGCTCTTGGCACCCGCTACCCACTGGAGCCTGCTCGTGATGCCGATGCTGGCCGCCTAGGAACCCAGGGCTATTCGCTATCTGGTGATGGGGCTGGAGAGACCTTCCGGTTGGAGACACGTCCTGGTCCTGATGGGGCCCCAGTACCTGAGCTAGTAGTTACTGGGGAGCTGGACCGGGAGAACCGCTCACACTACATGTTACAGCTGGAGGCCTATGATGGTGGCTCTCCTCCACGGAGGGCCCAAGCCCTGTTGGATGTGACACTGCTGGACATCAATGACCATGCCCCATCTTTTAATCAGAGCCGTTACCATGCTGTAGTGTCGGAGAGCCTGGCCCCAGGAAGTCCTGTCTTGCAGGTGTTTGCATCTGATGCTGATGCTGGTGCCAATGGGGCTGTGACTTACGAGATCAACCGAAGGCAGAGTGAGGGTGATGGACCTTTCTCCATTGATGCACACACAGGGTTACTGCGACTAGAGAGGCCACTGGACTTTGAGCAACGGCGGGTCCATGAACTGGTGGTGCAGGCACGGGATGGTGGAGCTCACCCAGAGCTGGGCTCAGCCTTTGTGACTGTGCATGTGCGAGATGCCAATGACAATCAACCCTCCATGACTGTCATCTTCCTGAGTGCAGATGGTTCTCCCCGAGTGTCTGAGGCTGCACCACCTGGACAGCTGGTTGCTCGCATCTCTGTGTCAGACCCAGATGATGGTGACTTTGCTCATGTAAATGTGTCCTTGGAAGGTGGCGAAGGCCACTTTGCCCTTAGCACCCAAGACAGCGTCATCTACCTGGTATGTGTGGCTCGGCGACTCGACCGGGAGGAGAGAGATGCCTATAACTTGCGGGTTACAGCCACAGACTCCGGCTCACCCCCACTGAGGGCTGAAGCTGCCTTTGTGCTGCATGTCACAGATGTCAATGACAACGCTCCTGCCTTCGACCGTCAGCTCTACCGGCCCGAAGCCTTGCCTGAAGTTGCACTGCCTGGCAGCTTTGTCGTACGGGTGACAGCCCAGGATCCTGACCAAGGTTCCAACGGTCAAGTGACCTATAGCTTGGCTCCTGGCACCCACACTCACTGGTTCTCCATCGATCCAACTTCAGGCATCGTCACCACTGCTGCCTCACTGGACTATGAGTTGGAACCTCAGCCACAGCTTATTGTGGTGGCCACGGATGGGGGCCTTCCCCCTTTAGCCTCCTCTGCCACAGTTAGTGTGGCCCTGCAAGATGTGAATGATAATGAGCCCCAGTTCCAGAGAACTTTCTACAATGCCTCACTGCCTGAGGGGACCCAGCCTGGAACCTGTTTCCTGCAGGTGGGTAGGCCCTGGACACAGTACCATGGGTAGGGCTGTGTCTTTTGGGAAAAATGCTTTAGCTGCACCACAAAATGTAGCTGCAGAGAAAAGACTGCAGGCAGGGAAGCTTCCAGACTCCTCAGTGTCCCCTCAGAGGCTGCCTGTTGGCTCAGACTCCAAGGCTAGTGCCTGGGCCTGGCTGACCCTTTGTCTGCTGGCCAGACTCTGGAGAGTTGCTTGCTTGCTGCTGTCTGGCTCCCACCACCCACTCTCCCATGTGTTTACTCTCCCTCTTGGCCAGGACCAATGGGTTATTGCTTCCAAATTTCTTCCCTCCTCACCAGTTCCTGAAGCAAGAGGGAAGCGCTCCAGGTGGTTTCCTGGAGAGTTTACTATTAGTAACCCTGGAGAAGAAGGGGTAAAATGTCTACTGGGGGTTCATAACTGTTACTGTTTCTTAACATTTGATCAAGTTACTGTATATGTATTGCCTACCATGTTTCAGCATTAGGGATACAAAATACAAAATGAATTAATCAAACCCCAGCCCTCACTTCATGTAGTTTATAGTCTAGATGGGAGATTCATTTGCAAAGCAAGTTTACTGCAATCAGAAGACTTCCATGATGGACATTAAAGCAGTGTGATTTTTTTTTTGTGCCAGTTCTGGGGTTTGAACTCAGGGCCTTTGCCTGCTAAACAGGTGCTCTACCACTTGGGATATACTTCCAGTCCTAAAGAAAAGGACCCTTGGCCTGAAGACTGAGCAGAAGTTTATGGGGTATCAGGAAATCAGGCAGGAAAAAGGTTACAAGCTGAGAGAGGGAGGGGACATGGGAGAGAACCAGTAGAGAGTGAGTCCCCATTGTTCAAGGGACTATAAGTAGCTCAGTATCTCTGGAGCATAAGATACAAGATGAGAGAGTTACAGATGAGACTACAGGAGCTAATCCAAGGAGTGTGGGCTTTTCTCCATAGGGATCACTGAAGATTTTCAAGTACAGGAATAAAATGATCAGATATGGTTTCCCAAATCCTAAGTCCTTATGGAGCAAGGATTCACAATTGGGGGTAATTTTGCTCTGCAGAAGAGACATTTAGCCATGCTTAGAGACAATTTTTTTTATTGTTATGACTAGTGGAATACTACTGCCTCTAGTGGGTAGAAGCCAAAGATGCAGTTAAGCATCTTACAGTACACATAACAAGTTATCTGGTTCACAATGCAAAAGTTCCACGATGCTGGGCTCCAGTAACTCATGCCTGCAATCTTAGCTACTCAGAGAGAGAGGAGATCTGAGATCTGAGGATTGAAGTTCAAAGCCAGTGTGGACATGAAAGTCCATGAAACTCTTATCTCCAGTTAACTACCCCCAAAGCTAGAAATGAAGCTGTGGCTCAAGTGGTAGAGCACAAGCCTTAAGCAGAAAAGGCTAAGGCACAGCACCTAGGCCCTGAGTTCAAGCTTCATTACCAGAATACACACACACACACACACACACACACACACACACACACACAAATTACCAAGGGTGAGAAGCCTTGATGTAGAGTGTAGGTTGAGGTCCGACACCTGTGAAAAGATAAGTACAATAATACAGGGAGAGATGAGTCAGATCTCATTCAAGACAGTGACAATGACAACAAGAGATAAATAGGCAAATAAGAAAGACTCAGGACTCACTGAGTCCCTAGTAGATTGATATATGAGGTGGAGAAAAGATAACTGATACCCGGCTTGAGGAACTAAATGAATGGAAGAGTCATTAGGGTAGGTTTGGGAAGCTTTGTTTAGACAGGTTGGATTTGAAGTGGTTGTGGGGCATCCAAGTGCAGGTGTTAAGCAAGCATCTAGACAGTCAAGTTGTACAGGCTTGCAGCATAGGAGAGTGCTCCAGGGTAAAAGTGTAGGTGATGGCTGAAGCTAGGGAAGTGAGGAGAAGAGAGAGAGAGAGAGAGAGAGAGGGAGAGAGAGAAGGCCCTGAGAAAATGTGTAAAGCAGGGAGTGGGGAACCTTTTCTCTGCCAAAGGCCATTTGGCGTGTGACGTCAGCTAGTATTGATGTTTATGTTGCTAAGAAAAAAAGCTCCTAGATTTACTTAATTTCAAGTCCCGCCTGTGGTTGCCTTGGCAGGGTCAGACCAAGTGATTTTGCAGGCCTTATATGACCCACAGGGCCGGACGTTCCCCACCCCTGCTGGGGTGAGAAGAGGCCATGGAGAGATTCTAGGGAGCCACAATGTGTAAAAGCAATCAGTAAGAATACATAAGAGTAACCCTGGAGGTAAGGGGTAGAGCAGTGAGAGGGGAGAAATGGGAATTGGTAGTGTCAGGAAGTCAAAACAGGAGGTGTATTTGCAGTGGGCACAATGGGCAGCTATAGCAAGTTTAGAGTCGCATAGAAATGTTAGAGAGTTCACAAAGGTCTTTCTTTTCTCCTTGAAATACTGCATCTAATGCGAGCCAGCAGTTGGGTAAGGACAAGAGAAGAGGAGTTGAGGGTCATTACTGGTTTGGGGCCGCATGGATGAAGCAATGCCTGAGCTGAGAACCTGCTGTCTATGCATATGCAATGAAATCTTATAGCAGGAGTTGTGCAGGTCAGAAAATTCACTTCGGGCTTGGTCATTTCCAGTCAATAGGCCATGTGTATTTTGGGGTCACTTTCTGACAACTTTCCTGACCACTGTTTATTGCTTTCTTCCTGAAATGAGTCATAGGGCAAAGGTCTTTCCCAGTTTCTAGAAATGGTCCTGCAGATGTGCTGCTGCTCACAAGGATGGATGCAGGGGGGAAGTCTGTCTCCTGGGATATCCGGGCCCACGGCCACAGTAATGAGTTAGAGCAGAGCTGTTTCCAGGGTTCAGCCATGGCAGGGTCTTAATGTCTCTCAGGAGGGTAAACAATGGCACAGATCACTTCTGTTGAGGGCCCAGGCAACAGTCAGAAATCCTTGGCTAGCTTTCTCTCTGAGCACATTTTCTGGCTGAGAATGGGAACTCAGCAGCTTCCTCTTGCAACGTATCATGACCCTGAGGTCCATCTATCCACAAAGAGCACTTTGTCACAGCCTACAGCAGTCCGCTACCAACTAACTCACTATTGAGAGCCTATGTGCAATCAGTATAGAAAGTGGTATGAAAGAAAGTGTTGTTACAAAGTAGGGAGATCAGAACAGTCCGTTTACTCAATGAACAAATATGGTACATATAGAGCACCTACTGTGTGTATACCTAGCCTTATTCTAGGCTAAAGGTGGAGCCATATCCATCATTCCGTAGAGCAGACCCTATAGAGATCAGTAATAATTGAACCCAATATAAGATGGGACCTGTACGCTGGGTAGTTTAGGGTGGTGTAGGCCTGTTATCTCAGCAACCAGGAGGCTGAGGTAGGATTGTGAGTTCAATACCAGCCTGCATTGCATAAAGAAACCCTGTCTTAAGTCAGGCTTAAAAGCTTATGCTTGAAATCCTAAATACTCTGGAATCTGAGATCTGAGTATCACAATTCAAAGCCAACCCAAGGAAAGTCTCCAATTAACCAGCAAGAAATAAAAAGCTTTAACAGAGGCTGGGCGCTGATGGCTCATGCCTTTAATCCTAGCTACTTAGGAGGCTGAGATCTAAGGATCACAGTTCAAAGCCAGCCCGGGCAGGAAAGTCCGTGAGACTCTTATGTCCAATAAACCATTTAAAAAAAAAAATCCGGAAGTGGAGCTGTGGCTCAAGCAGTAGAGTGCTCTCCTTGAGCTGAAGAGCACAGGAGACAGCGCCCAATCCCTGAGTTCAAGCCCCACGACCAACCAAAATAAAAACTTTAACTGAGCTGTGATTCAAGTGGTAGCTCTAGCCTTGAACACAAAAGCTTAGGGACAGGGCCCTGGCCTTGGAGTTATAATCTGAATAATTCTCAGTACTTCTGAGGTTCAGTCAGTTCTCTGCCTGGGGTGATTAAGAGATTTGATCTACCTGGATAGAAGGTACAATCTTTAGGATTATGTTGTTAGCAAATTCATTACTCTCTATAATTTATTTGCAATCCCAGATTGATAGTTGCAGCACTGTGTACCACAGTGTACCCAGACATGTACAGAGTGATGAAAGTTTTGAGTCACTTCGTATGCAGTGGAAAAGCCCAATGTTTTTCCTTTTTTTGAGTCCTGACAGAGTGAACAAGTGTCCTTTTTGAGGTCTATTTAATATCACATTTTGGGTTTTGGGGAGATGTTTTTATTCCCTTTCATTTTTGTGCCTTTTGTTAGAGATTTTTCTGTTTAAAACAGTCCCAGAGTGTAATACTGGAGAGCTATCTAGTGCACTAACAGGCTGTGGCATGTGTAGAAAAAAAAAAAGATTTCTTAGATAAGCTTCATTTAGGCATAAGTTACTGTTAGTGGCAGTGAGCTCAACTTAATGAATCGATATTATGCATCAAATAATACATCTTTAAACACAAACACACATCAAACATGGTTATGTATTGACTATTTTTTGCACTGACTATTTAATAAAAAAGCTATGTCCAGAGATTCTTGGGCGGGGTTTAGGCTCGGATTGATTTTGGTCCATGTCCCAGCTGTTCCGTCCATATGTTTGCCACTCAGGGACTCTGGGTACCAGCTGCTTGTAAAAATTCTGTCTTTGTACTAGGGTTGGAACTCAGGGCCTTGTAAGTGCTAGGCAGGCATTCTACCACTTGAGCTATGCTCCCAGTCCTTCTTTTACCTTTAGTTATTTTGGGGGTAGGGTCTCATGCTTTTTCCTGGGGCTAGCCATCTTCATACCTACAGCTTCCCTCATCACATGGACCATGCCTGACTTACTTTATGAGATAGACTATTGCCAACTTATTGCCCAGGCAGGCCTCAAATCTCTATCCTTGTGATCTCTGCCTCCCCTGTGGCTGGGATTACAAGCATGAGCCACCCCACTCAGCATCAGCTACTCTTTTCTAATTACCTCTTTGATCTGACGTTTCTGGTCAAAGAGGGGCTATTACTTACCTGGCTATCACTCCCTCTCCTCAGGTGACTGCCACAGATGCTGACAGTGGCCCCTTTGGCCTCCTCTCCTATTCCTTGGGTGCTGGACTTGGAACTTCTGGATCTCCCCCATTTCGCATTGATGCCCACAGTGGTGATGTGTGCACCACCCGGACCCTGGATCGTGACCAGGGCCCTTCCAGCTTTGACTTTACAGTGACAGCTGTGGATGGGGTGAGTAGACAGATGTTGGGCAGGGTCACTGGAGTCGGAGCTGTTGCCAGGGCCAGGCAAATCCATCTGACCTAGGACCGCATGTCCCACCAGGGAGGCCTCAAGTCCATGGTGTATGTGAAGGTGTTTGTGTCGGATGAGAATGACAACCCACCTCAGTTTTATCCACGCGAATACGCTGCCAGTCTGAGTGTCCAGAGCTCACCAGGCACAGCTGTGCTGAGGGTGCGTGCCCACGACCCTGACCAGGGACCCCATGGAAGACTCTCTTACCACATCCTAGCGGGCAATAGCCCCCCTCTCTTCACCTTGGATGAGCACTCAGGTGAGGATCCTCTCATGACCTATTCTCAGCCTTTGCCCTGACCCCCACCCGTCTAAATGATATATTGTGTATCCCTTCCATAATCATTCCCCGTTCTTTCCTTATAGTTCTCTGTGTCTACCCTTTTTCTAGGGCTTTTGACAGTAGCCTGGCCCTTGACCAGACGGGCTAATTCTGTGGTGCAGCTGGAGATAGGGGCTCAGGATGGAGGTGGCCTGAAGGCTGAACCCAGTGCCCGCGTCAACATCAGCATTGTGCCTGGAACGCCCACACCACCTATATTTGAGCAACTACAATATGTCTTTTCTGTGCCAGAAGATGTGGCACCAGGCACCAGTGTGGGTATAGTACAGGCACGCAACCCACCAGGTATGAGAACCCCCAATATAGTCCTCCAGCACCATCTCAGGGTACCCTAGAGTGTCACATGACAGCTATCCCCAATACAGAACACTGGTGCATGAATGCCACTGCAGTGCTAACAAACTTCCCTGCCAACTCCTGCCTCCTTCCTAATACTTTGCAAGTCACACATGTACCTCCCAGCCTTTCTTGGGATCAGAGTCTGGGCTCTAACTCAAGAGATGCTCCCATACCACTTCTCTCATCCTTCCTTCCTCTTCACTAGGTCGCTCTGGGCCTGTGAGCCTTACCCTATCTGCTGGAGATCCCCGAGGACTCTTCGCCCTAGATTCGACCTCAGGACTGTTAAAAACACTTCGCCCTCTAGACCGAGAGCTTATGGGACCAGTGTTGGAGCTGGAGGTGCGAGCAGGCAGTGGGGTACCCCCAGCTTATGCCATCGCTCGGGTGCGTGTGCTGCTGGATGATGTGAATGACAACTCCCCTGCTTTCCCTGCATCTGAAGACACTGTATTACTGCCACCAAACACTGCTCCAGGAACTCCCATCTACACACTGCGGGCTGTGGACCCTGACTCAGGGGTTAACAGCCGGATCACCTTTACCCTGCTTGCTGGAGGTGATGGAGCTTTCACCGTGGACCCCACTACAGGCCATGTACGGCTTATGGGACCTCTGGGGCCTCCAGGAAGGCCAGATCATGAGCTGGAGCTAGAAGCACGGGATGGGGGCTCCCCACCACGCACCAGCCATTTTCGACTTCGGGTCATGATACAGGACTTGGGGACCCATGGAGTAGGTCCCCGATTCAACAGTCCTAGCTACCGTGTGGATCTGCCCTCAGGTACCGCCCCTGGAACTCAGGTCTTGCAAGTGCAGGCCCAGGCACCAGATGGGAGCCCTGTCACCTATCACCTTGCAGCAGATGGAGCCAGAAACCCCTTTGGCCTCGAATCACAGAGTGGGTGGCTATGGTTACGGGCAGCACTGGACCGTGAGTCCCAGGAGTTATATACACTGAAGGTAATGGCAGTATCTGGGTCCAAAGCTGAGTTAGGGCAACAGACAAGTACAGCCACAGTGAGGGTCAGCATCCTCAACCAAAATGATCACAGTCCCCGCCTGTCCGAAGATCCCACCTTCCTGGCTGTGGCTGAGAACCAGCCCCCTGGGACCAGTGTAGGCCGGGTTTTTGCCACTGACCGAGACTCCGGACCTAATGGACGTCTGACCTACAGCCTGCCACAGCTGTCAGAGGACAGCAAAGCCTTCCGCATCCACCCTCAGACTGGTAAGCACTGGGACCCAAATTCTAAGATCCATCAGCCTCAGAGTCCACAGCTTGGTGAACACCCAGATTGGATCTCCAGCCCCTAGCCCAGATCCTAGTTATGACGACCAGGACTTAGCCTGAGGTTGAGCCCTGGCATTCCCTCCCACACTGCCCAACTCTAGATTCTCACCTGTAGTCTTCAGGCTCTGCATTCCTAAATATCTCCTCATGATCTCCATCCTACATTCCCAGGGGAAGTGACCACACTCCACACCTTGGACCGAGAGCAGCAGAGCAGTTACCAGCTCCTGGTGCAAGTGCAGGATGCGGGGAGCCCTCCTCGAAGCACCACAGGCACAGTGCACATTGCAGTGCTTGACCTCAATGACAACAGCCCCACCTTCCTGCAGGCTTCTGGGGCTGCTGGTGGGGGACTTCCTGTACAGGTATGCAAAGTGGCAGGACTCTGTCCTGAAATGGGAGAGGGAGGGGCCATCTCCCTATAGAACCCTAGGTGTAGGTAAGAGAGGGAAAAAAAATGCTCTGCCTACACACTGGTGAGGGGTATTGGATTCAGCGTTGATTTCAGCATAGGAAGATGATTGTAAGAGTTGCATCCCCATAGGTACCAGACCGTGTGCCTCCAGGAACTCCAGTGACAACACTGCAGGCCAAGGATCCGGATGAAGGGGAGAACGGGACCGTCCTTTACATGCTCACTGGTATGGGGGGGAGGGGAGTGGTAAGAAAAAGGGAGGGGCTGAGTGGGGGAGGGTTGTTTTCATGGCCTTCTCAGTTCTGAGAGCCAAACCCTCATCCTTCTACCTGTCCTCAGGTCCTGGCTCAGAGCTCTTCTCGCTGCACCCTCACTCTGGAGAACTGCTCACTGCAGCATCCCTGATCCGTGCAGAGCGGCCCCACTACGTGCTGACACTGAGTGCTCAAGATCAAGGCAGCCCTCCTCGGAGCGCCAGCCTCCAGCTGCTGGTGCAGGTACGCCCATTCTTCTAGCTGCTGCTCTGCGCCCCTCCATTAATTAGCGCAAGCTTCTGTGGTGGCCCCATGGGCCTTCCCAGCCTAGTCTTACCACCTTGTCCTACTACCCAGAGCAGACCTACTTTTACACCGGTCTTCCTGATTGCATCCTCCCTCCCTGGCCCACAACAGGTGCTTCCCTCTGCTCGCGTGGCCGAGCCACCGTCGGATCTGGCAGAGCCTGACCCGGCAGCTCCAGTACCTGTCGTGCTGACGGTGACAGCCGCTGAGGGGCTTCAGCCGGGATCCCTGTTGGGCTCCGTGGCGCCTCCAGAGCCACCTGGTGTGGGCGCGCTCACCTACACCCTGGTAGGTGGCGCTGACCCCGAGGGCACCTTTGCGCTGGATGCGACCTCGGGACGCTTGTACCTGGCGCGGCCTTTGGACTTTGAGACTGGCCCTGCTTGGCGCGCGCTCACGGTGCGCGCCGAGGGGCCGGGAGGCGCGGGCGCGCGGCTGCTGCGAGTGCAGGTGCGCGTGCAGGACGAGAACGAGCACGCACCTGCCTTTGCGCGCGACCCCCTCGCGCTGGCGTTACCCGAGAACCCCGAGCCCGGCGCGGCGCTGTACACCTTCCGCGCGTCGGATGCCGACGGCCCGGGCCCCAACAGCGAAGTGCGCTACCGTCTGCTCCGCCAGGAGCCGCCGGTGCCGGCGCTGCGTCTGGACGCGCGCACCGGGGCGCTCAGCGCTCCGCGCGGCCTGGATCGCGAGACCACGCCCGCGCTGCTGCTGCTCGTGGAAGCCAGCGACCGGCCCAGCAATGCCAGCCGCCGCCGCGCAGCCCGCGTTTCCGCGCGTGTCTTTGTCACGGATGAAAATGACAACGCACCGGTGTTCGCCTCGCCCTCCCGCGTGCGCCTCCCCGAGGACCAGCCGCCTGGGCCCACCACCCTGCACGTGGTGGCCCGAGATCCGGACCTGGGGGAGGCGGCGCGCGTGTCCTATCGCCTGGCAGCTGGGGGAGACGGCCACTTCCGGCTGCACGCGAGCACTGGTGAGCATTGGGCCAGGGGTGTGGGCCTGGAGGATGCTGGGTTGCGGGGAGTGTGGAGGTTGCTACCAATCTGCCTTCTTACTCACCTAGGAGCCCTGTCCGTGGTGCGGCCCTTGGACCGAGAGCAGCGAGCTGAGCATATACTGACCATCGTGGCTTCAGACCACGGCTCCCCGCCTCGCTCATCCACTCAGCTCCTGACTGTCAGCATCGTTGATGTCAACGATGAGGCTCCCACTTTCCAGCAACAGGAGTACAGCGTCGTCTTGCGTGAGAACAGCACCCCTGGTACATCGCTGCTCACCCTGCGGGCAACTGACCCTGACTTGGGTAAGACCTAGTGGGGTATGGATTGTAAGAGGGAGAGACAGAGGAATACAGGGTGTGTTTACCCTCTGATCACTCCCCATGCTGCCCCTTCTCAGGGGCCAATGGGCAAGTCACTTATGGAGGTGTTTCTGGCGAAAGCTTCTCTCTGGACCCAAACACTGGAGTTCTCACTACTCTCCGCGCCCTGGATCGAGAGGAACAAGAGGAGATCAACTTAACAGGTGAGAGCCACGAGTGTTGCAAACATGGGTAGAACAACCAAAGTATGTATCTTCTAGAAGTTCCATCTAGTATAGCACAGCTTATGGAAAGCCAAGATTTAGATAGGATGCTAGGTGAGCTGACTTCTGAATTGTCCTTACTGTGACCATACAGAATTTCAAATACCTATTTCACAGCTATGCCCTCTAGGCCTCCCTTAGATTATACTGCAACCACTTAACAGGAGCGTTTTGATATGAGTATCAGAGAAGTGAAGTGACTTTCTCAAACCAAGATAGCTTGACACTGGCAAAGCAGGAACTTGAGCCCAACTCTTTTGATATCTCATTTCAAGTCTTTTCAGCCTCACCACTACTAATAGGAGATAGGTCTTGCATGTACCAAGCAGAGGAGATGGAGAGAAAAAGAACCTCTTTTTATGTGTATCCATATGTTCCACATGTACACGTGTGTGCCCAGAATATGTGGCACGATAGATGTTTTCTAGCTAGCATGTGTATCTGTGAAGATGTGTAAGCACACTGAGGTGAGACTAGACCTCATTAATTTTGCTTCCTCGCAGTATATGCACGGGACAGGGGCTCACCCCCCTTGTTAACTCATGTCACAGTACGTGTGACCGTGGAAGATGAGAACGACCATGCTCCAACCTTTGGGAATGCCCACCTTTCTCTGGAAGTACCTGAGGGCCAAGACCCCCAGACTCTTACTACACTACGGGCCTCTGACCCAGATGTAGGAGCCAATGGGAAGTTGGAGTACCACATCCTGGGTGAGAACCATCTCATTCTTGCTAACTTACCACCTCCTTGCCTGGTGCTTGCTCCCTGTTGGCCTCTGTTGGTTTCAGTGTGTCTGGGTCACTTTTCCCCTCTTGTGTATGTCTTATACTTTTTTCCCTCATGCATACATCAGCATATCTGGGGGGTATCTTTTTCTCTGCCTCTCTAACTTTTTTCTGACCTTTATTTCTTAATAAATGCGCTTTCTCACAAAGAGACACTTTTTTTGTTTGTTTGTTTGTCGTGGGGCTTGAACTCTGGGCCTGGGCACTGTCCCTGAACTCTTCAGCTCAAGGTGAGTGCCCTACCACTTGAGCCACAACGTCACTTCCGGTTTCTGGTGGGTTATTGGAGATAAGAGTCTCAGAGGCTTTCCTGCCCAGGCTGGCTTTGAACCGTGATCCTCAGATCTCAGCCTCCTGAGTAGCTAGGATTACAGGTGTGAGCCACCAGCATGAAGAGACAATGACATTGTCTGGAGACTCTAAGAAGACTGCTTGTTTCAGAGTGTGTCTGTACCAAATACCTACCTGTAGCATAGTAAAATTAGAACTACACTAAAAGCAATAGCGGGGAGACTGAATATTTTTTTTTTTTTGGGTCCGGTCGTGGGGCCTGAACTCTGGGCCTGGGTGCTGTCCCTCAGCTCTTCAGCTCAAGGCTAGCGCTCTACCACTTGAGCCACAGCGCCACTTCTGGTTTTTTTTTCTTTTTGCTTATGTGGTGCTGAGGAATCGAACCCAGGGCCTCAAGCATGCAAGGCAAGCGCTCTACCACTGAGCCATCTTCCCAGCCCGAGACTGAATATTTTTGCAGGGTTTTAAATTTTATTTTCTTGAGGCGACATCTTGCTATGTAGCTCAGGCTGGCCTTGAACTTGGGATCCTCCTGCCTCAGCATTCTAGAGTGCTGGCATTATTAGATGTATGCCACCGTGCCAGTTTCAGAGCAGCTGTTTACTCGAGGGGGTCAATTTTTTTAACATGCATTAACTATACAAAGGCATTTCATTATCTTTACATACATACATCCATATAATAAAACTTGATCACATTCACCATCTTTATTGTATAATTACTGGCATAATGATACATTGTGATTCTATCTATCTGTCTATCTATCTATCTATCTATCTATCTATCTATCTATCTATCTAGTACTTTACTCAAATTCCTCCCATTTATATTGCTGTTTCTTAATTGTCCTCTCTCTCCTGTTCCCTATTAAGAGTTTTAGTGGGTTTCATTATGCTGTTTTCCTATGTGTATATGTATTCTATATAGTACTACCTCCTGACACCCTCTCCTCTCTTCTTCCCACCTGCTGATCACCTGCAACACTCTCTCTTTTACAATCCTGACATTTTTATTATCTTTTTGCTTCCACATATGAGCAAAAACATTTTATTTGTCTTTCTGAGCTTGGCTTATCTCACTTAACATGATCTTTTATTCCATCCATTTTCCTTAAAATGACCTTATTTTATTTATTTTTTGTCAGTTTTGGGGCTTGAATTCTGAGCCTGGGCGCTGTCCCTCAGCTCTTAGTTCAAGGCAAGCACTCTACTACAGCACTACTTTCAGTTTTCTGGTGATTAATTGGAGATAAGAGTCTCACAGACTTTCCTACCAGGGCTGGCTTTGAACTGTGATCCTCAGATCTTAGCCTCCTGAGTAGCTAGAATTATAAGTGTGAGCCACCAGCTCCCAGCTATTATTCTTCTTTATTCATGCCTCTCTAGTTCTTAATTTCCCTCTTTGGCCCTGCTTCTTTCTTTCTTCTTTACTTCCTCCTTTCTTTTCTTATTTTCTCTCGCTGTTGAGTAGTGATTCTCAAATGTTTTGGTCTCAGGACATTTGTGTGTGTGTGATGGCTTTCACTATGTTGCCCAGACTGACCACAAAAAATATGAACCACCACACCCAGATGTGAACTCTAAAAGGTTAATATGTAAATTTTATCAACATTTACTATATTGGATATTAAAACAATAAAAATTAAATACCAACCAGTAATGGCTTACATCTTTAATCCTAGCATCCTAGTTTTCCAGGAGGCTGAGACCTGAGGATCGTGGCTCAAAGCCAGCCTAGACAGGAGAGTGTGTGAGATTCTTATTTCCAATTAGCCACCAAAAAGCTGGAAGTGGAGTTTGTAGCTCAAGTAGTATAACACTAGCCTTGAGCAAAAAATTCTCAGTGAAGCACTTAGGACCGGGGTACAAGTCCAGGGCCAGAAAAAAAAAATCATTGAGAAACAAAACAATTAAATATGCTGCTTGGTGCTTTGGCATATACAAAAGGAAATGTTCGGATTTCAAATAACAATGGTAATGCAGAGATCATAGGTATAACAGAGGGAAGCTAGCACAAACTGTTTCTTAAATTATAATTCCACTTGTTCTACCCAGAATATTCTGGAAAACAGGAGAATGCATATGCACACATTCCATCCACCAAGCGTTGATCTTATGTATTCTAAAGCATCCCCTGTGAACTGTGAGATAAGAATGAAAATGGCACATAATGCCTATGATAACAGTTTGGTCTTCAGTATATGACAAGTCCTCATGGACAAGCCTCCAAGGGCTGTCCAGATCATACTCTGATAGCAGCTGCTTTATTCACAATAGCTTTACCTTCACTGTTTGTTTTCCTCTTTGTCTCTGATTCTTTGCTCTTCTCCCAGCCCCATTCCATCCCCTGTATCTCTGTCATTGGCTATATTGCCCTTCCATCTTCATGGTCTGACACATTTATGTTTATGTGTACTTAACTATTCTCTGCAGATGGGGATCCATCAGGCGCCTTTACCCTAGATGTTGCCTCTGGGGAGTTTGGCACTGTAAGGCCACTAGACCGGGAAGTGGAACCATCATTCCAGCTGCAGATAGAAGCCCAGGATGGAGGCCAGCCAGCTCTCAGTGCTACTCTGCTTGTGACAGTGACTGTACTAGATGCCAATGACCATGCCCCAGCCTTCCCTGTTCCTGCCTACTCAGTGGAGGTGCCCGAAGATGCACCTGCAGGGACACTGCTGCTGCAACTGCAGGCTCATGATCCTGATGCTGGGGCCAATGGCCGTGTGACCTATTACCTGGGTGCAGGCACAGCAGGAGCCTTCCTGCTAGAGCCAACCTCTGGAGAACTGCGTACAGCCACAGCGCTGGACAGAGAACACCTTCCCAGCTACACCTTTTCTGTGAGTGCGGTGGATAGTGCAGCGGCTGGGCCCCTGAGCAGCACAGTACCTGTCACCATCACGGTACGCGATGTCAATGACCACGCACCCACTTTCCCTACCAGTCCTCTGCGTCTGCGCCTCCCCCGTCCAGGCCCCAGCCTCAGTACCCCAACACTGGCTCTGGCCACACTGCGAGCTGAAGATCGTGATGCTGGTGCCAACGCCTCCATTCTATACCGGCTGGCAGGCACACCACCTCCTGGCACCACCGTGGACTCTTACACAGGTGAAATCCGGGTGACCCGCTCTCCTGTAGCTCTGGGACCCCGAGATCGTGTCCTCTTCATCGTGGCTACTGATCTTGGCCGTCCAGCTCGCTCTGCCACTGGAGTGGTCATTGTTGGACTTCAAGGGGAGCCTGAACGTGGACCCCGCTTTCCCCGAGCAAGTAGTGAAGCTGTGCTCCGTGAAAATGCACCCCCAGGTTGGTCACCAGCCATGTGCCTCTAAATTTGTATCTCTGGATGGCCTAGAGTTACCCATTCCTGGAGTGCCCACAGTCCAGTACCACCCTCTCTCATTGTCTCCACAGGGACTTCTGTTGTCTCCCCTAAGGCTGTCCACGCAGGGGGCTCAAGTGGACCAATCATCTATAGCATTCTCAGTGGAAATGAGAAAGGGATATTCTCTATCCAGCCTAATACAGGTAAAGGATCAGAGCAGGGGCTTTGTGTGAAGGGATAGGTTCCTGGGGAGGCAGAAGCAGGTTCTTTGGACCACACGAGACTGAAAGGGGAAAGGGTTCTCTTGAGTAAGCAGCCTTGGAGGAGGAGACTCCAGGGGTAAGGAAAAGGACTCACTGATGCAGTCTGCCTCCCAACAGGAGCCATCACAGTTCGTGCAGCCGAGGGGCTGGACTTTGAGACGAGCCCGCGTCTGCGACTGGTGCTGCAGGCAGAGAGTGGAGGAGCCTTTGCCTTCTCTGTGCTGACCCTGACCCTGCAAGATGCCAATGACAATGCTCCCCGTTTCCTGCGACCCCACTATGTGGCTTTTCTGCCAGAATCTCGGCCCTTGGAAGGGCCCGTACTGCAGGTGTGGGATGTGATGGGAAGATGGGAGGGATGAGCTGGTCTGATTTGTTTGTGGCCAAGCTAGTGCCAACCATCTCCTACACTCACCAGGTGGAGGCAGATGACCTGGATCAAGGCTCTGGAGGACAGATCTCCTATAGTCTGGCTGCCTCCCAGCCAGCACGAGGCTTATTCCACGTAGACCCAGCCACAGGCACGATCACTACCACAGCTATCCTGGATCGGGAGATCTGGGCTGAAACACGGTGAGACCTGACTTCTGCAGACCCAAGGCTTCCATCTTGGGCCTGTTTATTTTCAAGCCTCATCTTGTATTCCTCACAATCCCTAGGCTACCTCCTGAGATTCCCTAAAGTCAAGCATTGTCTTGAGTTCCCTTAGCCTTTCCCAAGTTCACTCTTATCTCTAGGCCCTTCCATCTGATTGTGCTTTGTGTCCAGGCTAGTACTAATGGCTACAGACAGAGGGAGCCCGGCCCTGGTGGGCTCAGCCACACTGACAGTGATGGTCATTGATACCAATGACAACCGTCCTACCATCCCCCAGCCCTGGGAGCTCCGAGTGTCAGAAGGTGAGGGCTACATAAAGTGAAAAGAATAAAAGGTGGCAGAGAAAAACTTACCCACCATGTACTTCCAAGAGTACATAAAGACCCTGCTGAATTCCCTTGTCTGGTGTTTTGCAGATGCATTGTTGGGCTCAGAAATTGCACAGGTAACAGGGAATGATGTGGACTCTGGTCCAGTGCTATGGTATGTGCTGAGCCCATCTGGGCCCCAGGATCCTTTCAGTATTGGCCGCTATGGAGGACGTGTCTCCCTCACGGGCCCCTTAGACTTTGAGCAGTGTGACCACTACCATCTGCAGCTGCTGGCACATGATGGACCTCATGAGGGCCACGCCAACCTCACGGTGCTTGTGGAGGATGTCAATGACAACACACCTACCTTCTCACATAGTCTCTACCAGGTACTCACTCCTAGATGCCTCCACAAGTGGGCCCAGGATTGTTCCTGCTGGACAGGGAGGAGACAGATCTAAAAGTGTTTGGGGTCAGCTGGATGCTAGAGTCCATTGACAAACAGGAATGTCCCATCTCAGACCAGCCTTCCAGGGCCTGTAGACTATATCTAGGTTCTGTATCCTGTGACCAGAAAGGGGGAAAAGGAGTTCTCACTCACAGCTTAACAAGTATAGCTCTCAAGCTGGAATGGATGCCAAACACGGCTTATTGGATCAAGCTCCAGCACAAAGGCTGGGAGCAGCAGGGAAGCTGGGATGTTTGATCCTAAACACTTTCTCACACCTTAGGTGATGCTGCTTGAGCATACACCACCGGGCAGTGCCATTCTCTCTGTCTCTGCTACGGACCGAGACTCAGGTGCCAATGGCCACATTTCCTACCATCTGGCTTCTCCTGTGGAGGGCTTCAGTGTTGACCCCAACAACGGTATGTCTTCCCTACAATGCGATCCCTTGATCTTTTAACCATATTTGGCCATATATAAATTAAGATGTTATTTCTAGAATTTGTTACCAATAACTTGACTCCTAGACTTCTGATTCTAGGAGCACCTTCTACCGACTTTGTCTTTAATATAAGCCTGACTGCCTGTCTGTTCCTGAGCTGAGTCTTTTGAGGCTGTTGCATACTGTTTTAGCACATGGGCCAATCCCTGGAGTCTGACTTCCAAATCCAAATCACCTGAAGGTGATATGTCTTCTGCTGACACAGTTTGGCCATTGCTGAATGTGTGTTTCCCTTTTCTTCTCATCTCAGGAACTTTGTTCACAACAGTAGGAACAGAGGCCTTAAGCCATGAGGGGCCAGGAGTGTTGGATGTGGTACTGGAAGCACGAGATCACGGAGCTCCACGCCGGGCAGCCCGAGCCACAGTACATGTCCAGCTGCAAGACCAGAATGACCATGCCCCAAGCTTCACTTTGCCACACTACCGTGTGGCTGTGACTGAAGATCTGCCCCCTGGTTCCACCCTGCTCACCCTGGAGGCCACGGATGCTGATGGAAGCCGCACCCATGCCACTGTAGACTATAGCATCATTAGTGGCAACAGGGGCCGGGTCTTCCAGCTGGAACCTCGGTTGGCTGAGGCTGGGGAGGGTGTTGGACCGGGTCCTCAGGCATTGGGATGCCTGGTACTGCTTGAGCCACTGGACTTTGAAACCCTAACGCAGTACAACCTAACCGTGGCTGCATCTGACCGAGGGCAGCCACCCCGAAGTTCAGCTGTGTCCGTCACTGTCACTGTACTAGATGTCAATGACAATCCACCTGTCTTTACCCGAGCATCCTACCGTGTGACGGTACCTGAGGACATGCCTGTGGGCGCTGAGCTGCTGCATGTGGAGGCCTCTGATGCTGACCCCGGCCCTCATGGCCTTGTGCATTTCACCCTCAGCTCAGGTGACCCCCTGGGGCTCTTTGAGCTGGATGAGAGCTCAGGTGCCTTGCGACTGGCTCACCCTCTGGACTGTGAGACCCAGTCTCGACATCAGCTCGTAGTGCAGGCTACTGACCCTGCTGGGGCACACTTTGCTTTGGCACCAGTGACAGTCGAGGTCCAGGATGTGAATGACCATGGCCCAGCCTTCCCACTGAACTTGCTCAGTACCAGCCTGGCTGAGAACCAGCCTCCAGGCACTCTTGTGACCACTCTGCATGCGATCGATGGGGATGCCGGGGCTTTTGGGAAGCTCCGCTATAGTCTGTTGGAGGCTGGGCCAGGGCCTGAGGGCCGTGAGGCGTTTGCACTGAACAGCTCCAGTGGAGAGCTGCGAGCACGAGTACCCTTTGACTATGAGCACACAGGAAGCTTCCGACTGCTGGTGGGTGCTGCGGATGCTGGCAATCTCTCGGCTTCTGTCACTGTGTCAGTGCTAGTGACTGGAGAGGATGAGTATGATCCCGTGTTCCTAGCTCCAGCATTCCACTTCCAAGTGCCAGAAGGTGCCCAGCGAGGCCACAGCCTGGGCCATGTGCAGGCCACAGATGAGGATGGAGGTGCTGATGGGCTGGTGCTCTATTCCCTTGCCTCCTCCTCTCCCTATTTTGGTATCAACCAGACTACAGGCGCCCTGTACCTTCGAGTGGACAGTCGGGCTCCAGGCAGTGGAACAGCCACCTCTGGGGGCGGGGGACGGGCCCGGCGTGAAACGCCACGGGAGCTAAGGCTGGAGGTAGTAGCACGGGGGCCTCTGCCCGGGTCCCGGAGTGCCACAGTGCCAGTGACTGTGGATATCACCCATACTGCACTGGGACTGGCACCTGATCTTAACCTGCTCTTGGTAGGGGCTGTGGCAGCCTCCTTGGGAGTTGTGGTGGTACTTGCACTGGCAGCTCTGGTTCTAGGGCTTGTTCGGGCCCGTAACCGCAAGGCTGAGTCAGCTCCTGGCCCAATGTCACAGGCAGCACCCTTAGCCAGTGGCTCCCTGCAGAAGCTGGGCCGGGAACCACCCAGTCCACCACCCTCAGAACACCTGTATCACCAGACTCTCCCTAGCTACGGGGGACCAGGAGCTGGAGGCCCTTACCCCCGTGGCGGCTCCCTGGACCCTTCACATTCAAGCGGCCGAGGCTCCGCAGAGGCTGCAGAGGATGATGAGATCCGCATGATCAATGAGTTCCCGCGTGTGGCCAGTGTGGCATCTTCCCTGGCTGCCCGTGGTCCTGACTCAGGCATCCAGCAGGATGCAGATGGACTCAGTGACACATCCTGTGAGCCACCTGCCCCTGACACCTGGTATAAGGGCCGCAAGGCAGGGCTACTGCTGCCAGGTGCAGGAGCCACTCTGTATCGAGAGGAGGGGACCCCAGCTACCGCCACAGCCTTTCTTGGGGGGTGTGGCCTGAGCCCCGCCCCCACTGGGGACTATGGATTCCCAGCAGATGGCAAGCCGTGTGTGGCAGGTGCGCTGACGGCCATTGTGGCTGGCGAAGAGGAGCTCCGCGGCAGCTATAACTGGGACTACCTGCTGAGCTGGTGCCCTCAGTTCCAGCCCCTAGCCAGTGTCTTCACAGAGATCGCTCGGCTCAAGGATGAAGCCCGGCCCTGCCCCCCAGCTCCCCGTATTGACCCACCACCCCTCATCACTGCTGTGGCCCATCCAGGAGCCAAGTCTGTGCCCCCCAAGCCTGCCAACACAGCTGTAGCCCGTGCCATCTTCCCACCCGCCTCTCATCGCTCCCCCATCAGTCATGAAGGATCCCTGTCCTCAGCCGCCATGTCCCCCAGCTTCTCACCCTCACTGTCTCCTCTGGCTGCTCGCTCACCCGTTGTCTCACCATTCGGAGTGGCCCAGGGCCCTTCAGCTTCAGCACTCAGCACAGAGTCTGGTCTGGAGCCACCTGATGACACAGAGCTACACATCTAGCTGTGGCCCAGGCTGGGCCCCGACCTGGGATACGCACAGTGTCCCCAATGCAGGCCCCATTCTGAGCCTGCCCCAGAGCAGCCTCGGACCACGACTGGCCGTGGGGAGGCCACCACCAAGCCCCAGCTCTCTACCCTAAACTCCTGTGGGGCCAGGTCCCACATTTCACCCCAGCCTCCTCAGAGCACTAGGACCAGAGGGTCTGTTGATCACTGGCTTGTGGCCAGGTCCATAGTGTGGGGAGAAATATGAAGGAAGCGGCAGCCCTGGGTTCTCAGTGAGGACTTCCTGCCCTGCACCAGCACCCTGTAATGGAGCTGAACTTTATTTATTGGGGGCCAGGGGGGATGGAAGAGGCCCCTCCAAACTCTTTGGACCCTACTCCCTTGGGTCCTGCCCCTGCCCAGAACAAGTGCCAATTCTCACTCTGGAGCCTTAATAAACTGCAGTTTGTATCCAGCCTCCAGCTTTGCTTTGTGGGGATGAATGGAAGGCATCTGGCAGTACTGTGGACACCTCAGAGGATGCAAAAGGGTAGTGCACATGGGGGCATTTGGGGTACAGATGGCACTGGGAGCTCAGGAGCCTAGTTTGAGGCTGATTGTAGTAAGCCTTGTCGTAAGCTTCCTACCTGGGGCAAAAGGGCAGCAGAGAGGGATTGGTTCTTTGGGAAAGAATCTAGGACTGTAGGACCAAGGGTCTGAAGAGAGGGGAGGATGGACATGAGAGCAGATCAGCGAAGAGATCCTTCCCCCTTGGAGCCACTAAATATCTAGAATAAGAGTTTTACATTCGGTGATATAATTTACTTACATCGGTGTAAATTCTCACTGCAACCACATACAGTCTCTTATAAATGAGTAAGTCTAGGCTCTGAGAGGTAAAATCGTTTTCCTACTATCACACCTCTAGGAAAAATGTATCTGTGAATCTTCAAAGCCCATTCTCTTGTGATTCTTGGGTGGCAGGATGTGGGCAACAGGTTGGGAACCCTGATCTGAAATGCATACCAAGGTAAGAGAAGAATCCAAGGGCAGCCCTATGCATTGGGGAACATTCATTTGAGAGGGAGGAGCCATCTTCGTCACTAGTTGCTAGGCAGAGAATGTGGAAGTGGAAGACCGGGCCATGTGACTTGTCACATGATCCCGGATCATCAGAAAGGCGAGATGAGACTCCAAACCTGGTGAGAAACTGGTGGGAGGCAGGTGAAGGGGATCACATTGGAGGGAATACATAGAGAGGGTGGGAATACAATGGCAATCCAGATCACACTGAAACTCACCCGCCGTTCCCGCAGCCTCCTAGGGCTCCTTGCCATCATCACCGCCTGCAAGTGCACTTATAGTCCAGAGCCTGACCAGCGTCTGACGTGAGTTGCTTTAACACTGACTACCCCACTGTCCTCCCTTACCCTGGTACTACTCCGTAGCCTTATCCTCAGACTTATCAGTCTTGATCACCTGCTATGACCCATTTCTGTCTGGGAATCCTGCCCAAAGCCTCAGTTGTTAATCCAGAACCCTCCATGACCCATATTTCCCAATTCCTACCCTAACGAAGGATTATTCTCTTCCTGACACTGCAGGCTGCCTCCAGGCTGGGTGTCCCTGGGCCGTGTGGACCCTGAGGAAGAGCTGAGTCTCACTTTTGCCCTGAAACAGCAGAACCTGGAGAGACTCTCAGAGTTGGTACAAGTGCTATCGGATCCCAGCTCGCCTCAATACGGTGCCTGTCGGGACTGGGGCCGGAAGTGGGATGTGTGAGGGACAGGGAGTTTTGACCTGCCAGGGGATGGTGCAGATCATGGCAGGGTTGTGTTCGTGGTGCCCTCAAGGAAATTGAATGGCAGTAACTGTCACTGGGGAGTTGCTGAATGAAAAAGTACACCAGAAATTAGGCTAAAAACTGTAACTTTATACCCTATTTCCAATTTTCCACCTATGTTCTTCAGTCTGAAAAAGCCAAGGTAGATATGATTAAGAGCACAGGCTTTATGATCAGATCTAAATTCAAATTTCTTACTACTACTTACCCGTTACTAGGCGAGTGATAGAGCCTAGTGCATGTGAGTGATCCTCAACTCAAATTGCTTCCTACATCCTCAAACCCACTTCTCTTTCCTCTTCTGCTCAGACATGGAGGCTGCCAGTTCAGCCACTCTATTTATTGCCTTCGCATTGGTTCACTTCTGGCCTGCCCCCATTGTTATTAAGTTCATTGTATATTCTCTCTCCTTGACTACTGCCCTTTTCTCCTGACCAGTCTGCAGTTCCCAGCACTCCGCTCTCTACTGTACTCCCCATTCGACTCCAAAGCAGTCTCTTCAATGGTCAAGCTGGATTGTATCCCTCACTTGGTTAAAGTCCTTTATGGCAGGGAAAATGTGTGTGTGTGTGTGTGTGTGTGTGTGTGTGTGTGTGTGTGTGTGTGTGTGAAGGATAGAGGTGAGGGATCATCCATATATGTAGGAAATAGTAAATCATCACATTAATTTTAAAACCAACAAGTATGGAGATTTGAACAAAATTAGATGCTGTATAATCGATTTCAAGAACTTTGAAAACTTTTATTGGAGATAAGGTTAAAATGGAAAAATTTAAATTATTAACTTCCATTATTTTTTTTCGCCAACCATGGCAGATGAATACCGTGCTATAATATTTGTAACCCAGTAGCCTTTAGGTTGACTCCATATTTCTTGGTCATGGTATTCCAAGTCTCTCCCATCTTTTTTCCCCCAGGGCCACCAGCCCCTACCCAGCCCTCTCTCAGAGTCTTGATGTTTCCTGGTTGAGGTCCAAAGAGGGAACTTGATAAATCAATGAGTTAAGACAAGATTCTCTTGTGAATCATTGCAGGAAAATACTTAACCCTAGAGGATGTGGCTGAGCTGGTCCAGCCATCGCTGCTTACCTTCCTCACAGTCCAAAAATGGCTCTCGGCAGCTGGAGCCCGAAACTGCCATTCAGTGACCACACGGGACTTTCTAACTTGCTCTCTAAGTGTCCGGTGAGAGGGAATGTTTGCCCAGTGGAATGATTGCCCCCATGGAGGATACCAATTGTCCCATCAGGGAAACTAATCACCCCAAGGGGATGAAGTTGAGAACCTGCCAAGAGCTTGTGGGCAGTAGTTAATGCATGACTGGTGTGGTGCTTGGGCTGCCTCCTCTGCTCCATTCCATGCATTCTTACCTCTGTTTTCTCAACTCTAACCTCTAGTCAGGCAGAGCTACTGCTCCCCGGAGCTGAGTTTCATCGCTTTGTGGGGGGACCTGCAGAGACCCATGTTGTAAGGTCCTTACATTCCTACCAGCTTCCTAAGGCCTTGGCCCCTCATGTGGATTTTGGTAAACCTGGTGTGGTTGGTGGGGATTGGGAAAGGCAGATCTTGGGACTGGACCTGGGATGGGGGTTGAGGGGGGGGTAGTTGTTGGATACTGTCAGTGGCAAATAGTCTGTAAGATCTCCTGAAGCCTGACCCCATTCCCACAGTGGGAGGCCTACACCGCTTTCCCCCTACCTCATCCCTGAGACAACGCCCCGGACCGCAAGTGGCAGGAACTGTTGGCATGCACTTGGGAGTGACTCCTTCTGTGATCCGTCAACGATATAACTTGACAGAACAAGATGTGGGCTCTGGCACCACTAACAACAGCCAGGCTTGTGCCCAGGTGAGCCAAGCAGGGAGCTCCAGGGTCCTCACGGCCTCCCCACGGTGTCTTCCATGTCTTGCCATACTGGGGCTTACTCTCTGACCCCATGATTCTGCTCTGACTCCCTCCATAGTTCCTGGAACAGTACTTCCATAATTCAGACCTGGTTGAGTTCATGCATCTCTTTGGTGGCAAATTTGCACACCAGGAATCAGTGGCCCGTGTGGTTGGAAAACAGGGCCGGGGCCGGGCCGGGATCGAGGCCAGTCTTGATGTGGAATACTTGATGAGTGCTGGCGCCAACATCTCCACTTGGGTCTACAGCAGCCCTGGTACTGCTAAAGGGGCTAGATGGTGGGAGGTGGGATGGATCCCTGCTCCATCAAGGGAATGACCTAAGCTTGAGGTGGATCTTGACAACCCCCCTTGTACCCACTTTTTTTTTTTTAATTTTAAATAATCTAGGCCGGCATGAGGCACAAGAGCCCTTCTTACAGTGGCTCCTGCTGCTCAATAATCAGTCGGCCCTACCGTATGTGCACACTGTGAGTTACGGAGATGATGAGGACTCCCTCAGCAGTGCCTACATCCAGAGGGTCAACACCGAGTTTATGAAGGCTGCTGCTCGAGGTCTCACTCTGCTCTTTGCCTCAGGTAACCTAAACTTAGATCTCCTACCAATTCACCCAACCTAGGAGCTTTAACCCAACAGAGCTTGGTCTCTGATTATCTGAACTCAGAATCTTAACAGGGTCTATGGGTGTGATCTAAATTGTGAGCTCCTGTTGGAACAGTGAATACTGATGTTTCCCATCTAGTTTAGGAACCTATATACTAAAATCTAACCAACTAATATGAATGCCAAGCTTCTCTCTCTCTCTCTGTCTCTGTCTCTCTCTGTCTCTCTCTCTCTCAGGTGATAGTGGAGCGGGTTGTTGGTCTGTCTCTGGAAGACACAAGTTCCGGCCTAGCTTCCCTGCATCCAGGTACGCAACACAAATTACACCTTCCCTGTGACCACAAATATTTCACCTGGTAACGTGAATCCTTCACTTTATGTTGTAGAACCTTCGACTTGACCCTCCTAAGTGCTCCTATGACTTAGCCCTCAGCATTACCCACCCTCTCACTTCCTGTGTCCCAGGCCCAAAGTCTCTTGATTAGGACACAGCTCCCAATGTTTCTCTTTCTTAGGCTCTGGGCCTTTTTGTGACAGATTATATGCATAATTAACTCAGACCATGCCTGAAGCATGCAAAACATTGCAGTCAACTCCGTGTGCATGCTTCCTTACAACATCTGGCCCTTGTAGCATGACTTAGCCCACCCATATCCACGTTTTAGAGGTCCCTAACTATTTGAATGCTGTTTGCTCCCTTAGCCCCTATGTTACCACAGTGGGAGGCACTTCCTTCCGGAATCCTTTCCTTGTCACAAATGAGATAGTTGACTACATCAGCGGTGGTGGATTTAGCAATGTGTTCCCGCAGCCTGCATACCAGGTAGGTGCATGTTTGTGTGGATGAATAAGGGGTTTGGGGATCCTCACTTCATCACACTGCTGGACAGGCCACAGACTAATGAATACTCAAAAATGTCTTTTAGGAAGAAGCTGTAGCCCAATTCCTGAAGTCTAGCCCCAAACTGCCACCATCCAGTTATTTCAATGCCAGTGGCCGTGCCTACCCAGATGTTGCTGCACTTTCTGATGGCTACTGGGTGGTCAGCAACAGTGTGCCCATTCCATGGGTGTCTGGAACCTCGGTAAGAATCAGCCTGGCACCGGGCACCAGTGGTCTACA